TCTTTTCCTTTCAGAATGTCCTAGAGATCAAAGTTTTGCACCACGGTTATGCTGATCCAAATAGCTTAAAATTTACTGAAATTAAAATCTTGGGAGTGATGTCAAATGTTCAGAAGGTCACAGTGTCACAGAAAGGGGAAGCTATTGAATCTCCTCATAGTCTGAACTATAACAGTACAAAACAGGTAAGTAGACAATTTAAGGGGAAATGCTATTTTCACAATTCCTTGTTTGTTCTTAAACATGTAGGATTCAGAGCTCAACATGTAGGATTCAGAACTCAGCTGTAATATCATATTTAAAAATATTTCTTTACTGCAACAAAAACACTGGCATACTAAAGAACTCGGGATACCTCTACAATAAAAATCGGACCTAGTCCACCTGCAGTTATTATCAAAATTTCCATGAATTTCAGCATGTCAAGTCTACATGTTTTGTATGCATCCAATGCATTTTTTGTGTGCTATGTCACAAGGAAGTCAGGTGGCCCAAAGCAATAAAGTTGAGCTCTTCTAAAGACAATTCAAATGAGTTGGTAAAAATGGAATGCCCTTCAAGACAGCCTCTTACAGAGCGTCTTCCATATGTGAACACAACTGCTGTGGCTCTTAGTATTGCCAGTTTTCTCACAGCTAATCTCTTCTATTATTGGTGTTTGTCCACCTTTTCAACAAAACTTGGAATTTTGTTGTCTCCTCTCTTTCTGCCTTGCAGTGGCAAGCCAAAAATAGATAAACTTAGCCTGCAACCAAAAAGACAAGCTAAGAATGCAAGCAGAAGTATTTCTTTTTCCATTCTATTTCAGATGGAGAAGGAAGGAATTAGAACTCAAGTTGAATTAAAATGTATGCCAAGTTTTGTTGTTGTTTTAAAAAAATGAACTTAATCTCTAAAAAGGCCACAAAATAAAAAGAAAAGGATCAGAATTCCATATCTGAAATCAAAATCTGACAGTTAAAATAAATGTGTAGTGATACAAACATCGGGGAAGGAAAAATAAATTATTGTAAGCTGAAATCAGAATCTGATATCTTCTATATTAACTGTAGAAAAGCAAGGCATCTTCAGAGCAGAGTTAGTCATTGCTTGTTTGTTTCTTTTTCAAAGGTCCTGTTAATCACACAGCTTGAACTTGAATTAGGCAGAGACTACACAGTGGAATGGAGCTAACGTACCTGCAAATATCACTGGTCTGCAGGTAACGCTCACGTAACATGGGGAAAATAACACCGCAAATAACATCTTGAAACTTTCCCATTTTCAAAAATTATCTTTGAAACCTTAAAATACTTTGTGCTATAAAAATGCATTAGCTATAGTCACCTCATTTTAAGGTGTTATGTGTATGTAAAATGGTCATGCTTTACTGTTGTTCAAGGCTAACTGAAAGCTATCTGTGTGATGCAGAGTTTGTATTTTAAATATTGAATTGAAAAAATGAATAGAGCTTAATTTTTTCAAAATTAAAATCTGTTATATGATTCCCCAAAGTTGACATCCTAGCTGACTTTATGCTCTCTGAATTCTATAAAAAAATGTAGTTGATATTAATTTTATGCATATGGGGCCATAATTGTATCCACACTTAGCTTCCATCTTGATTTTAATTGTGTCTATGTAGGCAATTGTGTCTATTTAAGGGCAATTAAACATGAAATTATGCTTCCAGTTGTTTTTGATCTATAGAATACAAAGGTACTTACAAAAGTCTTCTGAAGTGTTTTGTACAAACTTAGCCAGACACATGTTGGACAACATTTTGATCTGAAGATGTAAAATTGAACTTGACATTTCAACATTAATGGAGAATTTTTCATCTCTGAGCTTTTATTTCACTAAAGGATTTTTTATGCTTACTGTAATTGTAATTTATGTTAAAGATGTTTTTCATATCTCAAGAGTACAGACTATGATCTAAAGGGGGTGATAAACTATATTTTAATTAACTAAACTGGGAATAAGTTCCTGTAAAAGGCCAGAGTGCCGTCTAGCTTAAAACCTATTTAAGTGCTTCCTCCCCAATTTAAAATTTCGTTTGGGTTTTATAGAGCAGCCTTCTGAAAGGCAACAACTTGAAAAGAATCAATCAGAAACAGATGCAGAATTGTTGGGATGAGTAATGTGATGTTGGGGTGGGGATGAGGGGTTGTTTGTTTTTTCTCAAAATGTGTAAGTGGCAAAATGAATTTAAAACACAAGTAACGTCATAAGAATAAGCATAAGAATAAGCATCATACCAGGATAATAACTAAGCTTAACAGCTGTATCCTAATGTTTGTAAAAATTCATGATCCTAGGTAAGGCACTAACAGCTCCTTCATGAGAGTGCAATAGATTCATGTGTTGGGCCAGTAAGATATCATCAATGTATTAATGACAAGATATGTCAGATCTAGTATGCTAGAGAACTGCAAAACAGCAGTTGTTTGGACTGTATGTTCATTAGGGAATCATTGAATCATAGAGTCCTTGTGGTTGGAAAAGACCCTCAAGATCTTCTGTGAAGATCGTTGAGTCCAACCATAAACCCATCACTACCATGCCTGCTAAACCAGGTCCCTAAATACCTCATTTACACATTTTTTTGAACACTGCTGGTGATAGTGATCCACCACTTCCTTGGACAGCCTGTTCCAATGCTTGAATACTCTTTCCATGTAGAAATTTCTCCTAATGTCTAACCTGAACTTCCCCTGGTGCAACCTGAGGCCATTTCCTCTTGTCCTATCTGTAGTTATTTTGGAGAAAAGATTGACCCCCGCTTCACTACAACCTCCTTTCAGCTAGTTGTGGAGAGCGATAAGGTCTCCCCTGAGCCTCCCCCTCTCCAGACTAAATAACCCCATCTCCCCCAACCGTTTCTTGTAAGGTCTGTGCTCCAGACCCTGTGCCAGCAGCATTGCCCTACTTTGGACACACTCATAAGGGAACACACTTGACTGTAAATATGGGAAGACTCATCAGGAGGTTTGCAGGGGATGGGAATGAACCTCCGGAAGTGGTTCATCCTTCAGTGAAGGAAGTGGTCACTGACCACTTGTTGTTAATTTTTTTAAATAAAATACTTGTTAATAACAGAATGTGGGCACCTGTATGAATAAGGCAGCACAGATGTTACTTGACAGTAATGCGATGATGTCTATTTCTAAATCAGAAGCCTCTTAAGCTACACTCTCCAGGTCACCTCAAAAGATCAGCACATTTTGACCTACAGAGTTCCTATACTTCTGACAAGTCAGGGAACAAGGGTCTAGCAGACTCCTGGCCTCTGGATTCCCAGCTGGAGGTGTGGCGGGAGGGGCAATTCGGCCTAAGGAATATGTGGCACAAAGTGGGTCGTTTGCAAAAGCCAGGAACACTGATGTTGTTACTTGGTGAATTGCCCATTCAGGAAAAGAGGCCTTCCAGGATTCTAGATATATGTGTCAGGGTTTTTACACAAAGATTTGGGGGGATTTTTGACATTAGCAGTGGCTGCCTCTCCAGCACAGAGGGAAGATGAAAGAATGGGCATGACTGAGACTGCCTTTTGCAACTCCTGAGACCACATGGGGGTAAATACCCCACAGAATCACAGAATGAGTTGAGGCTGGAAGAGACCTTTAAAGATTATGTAGTCCAACTGCCCTGCTCAAGCAGGGTCACCTAAAGTATGTTGCCTAGAACATCTCCAAGGATGCAGACTCTGCAACCTCTCTGGAAAACCTGTTCCAGCCCTCAGTCACACTCATGGGAAAATAGTTTTTCCTGATGTTCAGAAGAAAGTTCCTGTGATTCCATTTGTGTCTACTGCCTCTCATCCTGTCACTGGGCACCACTGAGAAGAATCTGGCCCCACCCTCCTTACACTCTCACTTCAGATATCTAAATACATTCATAAGACACCCCTTCAGTCTTTTCCAGGTTCAACAGTCACAACTCTGTCACAAAGCAATGAAAGTGGTGAATTTGGAAGGGGATCAGGACACTGGCATGAGAACGTGGCTGCCTGCAATGCGGCAGCAGGTTTCCCCTCTACTACCTGGCCTGAGGCCTTTGCTGGAACCTCAGGGATGGCTCAGGCAAGAGCAGTGAGCAGCTCCCCAGGGTTACACTGGTGAGGTATGTCCGGAGGACGCACTGCTCAAACTGGGATTTGGTCTCAGAAAGCCCACTGGACACATGCAGAAGCTGTAGTCAAGACAGCAAATTTCAACAGAAAATGCATAGGCAGAGACAACTGCAGATTACTATGAATTTGGCCTTTGCAGTTACTGCCTCCCTTCGGCTAGACTGACATAAGCAAGGTTAAGATGCCAGACAAAGGAAGGGAATTGTGAAACAGTCTCACAAAATGAGCCCAGAGAGGGCATGAATGGTGCTGAACTTGGAGAAAAGGGGTGAAGCCTGACTGAAGGAAAGGAACAGACACAGAAAACTCATTCTGCACTTGCAAAGACTAAAAGTTCTGTGGACAGTGGTGCGTGGAAAGAAGAAAGGTGGTATGGGAGGCTCACAAGAACATGAACTACATCCAGCCTAGAAAAGTCTAGCCTCATGTACTAGCCTCTGGCTACACAGAAGGAAATACAAAGGGGCTACTATGGACTAATGAGACATCTCATGAAGAGTAAACCACCGCAGATGATCTCACCAGGCTCCTATAGCTTTGTCTATAGGGGAACATGGAAGGCTCCAAGGAGCAGAGCCAAGTGCAAGGTTCTGCACCTGGGGAGGAGTAACCCCAGACACCAGTACAGGCTGGGGACTGACCATCACCCAGGACTGGCAACGTGCAGCATGGCTGGGAAAAGAGAAGTCTCAAATCAGAAATGCAAAGCTCTTGATAGCGCTCCCAAGTCTATGGGGCCAAGTGAGATCCACCCAGGGTTCTGAGAGAGCTGGTGGAAGTGCTCACCAAACTGCTCTCCGTCATCTCTCAGTGGTCTTAGTCAACAGGGGAGGTCCCAAACGATTGGACACTTGCTGATGTGACATCCATCTACGAGCAAGGTCTGATGGAGGATCCAGGGGCCGAGAGGCCTGTCAGCCTGACCTTGGTATCAGAGAAAGTTATGGAGCAGGGCATCTTGAAGGTTATCACACAGCAGGTGTGTGACAACCAGGAGATCAGGCCCAGCAAACATGAGGTCATGAAAGGCAGGTCCTGCCTCACCAACCTGAGCTCCTTCTACAACCAGGTGACCTACCTAGTGGATGAGGGAAAGGCTGTGGACACTGTCTACTTAGACTGCAGTGAGGCCTTTGACACAGTCTCCCACTGCCTTCTCCTGGAGAAACTGGCAGCTCAGGGCTTAGACAAGTGGACTCTTTGTGGGTGAAAAACTGGCTGAATGGCTGGGTCCAGAGAGTGGTGAGGAATGGAATTAAATCCAGCTGGTAACTGGTTGTGAATGGTGTCCCCCAAGGCCAAGTGGTGGGTCCTGCACTTGGGTCACAACCAGCCCATGCAGTGCTACAGGCTGGGGGCAGAGCGACTGGAGAGCTGAGGGCAGAAAAGGACCTGGGGGTGCTGGCCGAGCACAGCTGAACAGGAGCCAGCAGTGTGCCCG